CCAAATTGGAATATGACTCTTCAACAGCAACAACAACAACAACAACAACCAGGAACTGCATTTTCAAATGCAGCGCTGAATCACCCTTTTTTAGGAACAGTAGGGCAGTATTCACAATCAATGTAGCTACCTCAAACTTTATTAATGTACCAATCAGTGTCTCAAACAGAGCATGTTCGTTCCTAGTAGATTCAGGAGCGGACGTTTCACTAGTAAAATCAAATGTCCTTAAACACTCGATTCCGGTGAATCCAAATAACACGTGTGTGTTACGCGGAATAACTTCCGGAGAATTGAGAAGCCAAGGAACTGTAAATTGTTTTCTTTACATACAAAATACAGCTGTAAATAGCCTATTCCACCTGATTGATGACGACTTCCCGATACCAACAGATGGTATACTGGGAAGAGATTTTTTAACAACCTATCGATGTGAAATTAATTATGATACATGGATTTTGTCCGCATATGTAAATAGTACCCGACTAGAAATTCCAATTCATAATAATCTGAACGGATCCACATGGATTCCTGCCAGATCTGAAGTAATCAGATTAATAAATAATCTTAATACAAATGAAGATGTAGTAATAAACTCATCTGAAATAGTACCAGGTGTATTTTGTGCTAATACAATTGCAAATAGTAATGCACCTTATGCTAAAATTATGAATACAACTGAATTTCCTGTACAAATAAATAATTCAGGTTTCAAATTTTCAAAGCTTAGTGATTATTATGAAACAAAAATAAATAATAATACTAATGCTGATAGGCTTAAAAATCTTCATTCTGAATTAAATTTAAATAACATACCAATATTTGCTAAACACTCCTTACAACAATTATGTAACGAGTATAACGATATATTTAGTTTAAAAGATGATTTATTAACATGTAATAATTTCTATCGGCAGAAAATAAATTTAGCAGACAAATCACCGGTTTATATTAAAAACTATCGGAATGCACAAAGTCAAATAGAAGAAATCTGTCGTCAAGTTGATAGTTGTAGCTCGATACCGAAGGTTCTATTATATCGTTTGAAATCAAACGATATAATAGAACCTTCGGTATCGAGCTACAACTCGCCGATACTACTTGTTCCCAAAAAATCGACTAGCTCTGAGAAAAAATGGAGGTTAGTCGTAGATTTTAGACAATTGAATAAAAAATTGTTGGCCGATAAATTTCCCCTGCCGAGAATCGATGATATACTCGATCAACTTGGAAGAGCAAAATATTTTTCCACCCTAGATCTCATGTCTGGTTTTCACCAGATCGAAATCGAGAAAAACTCAAGAGAACTTATAGCATTCTCTCTACAGGAACGCGGACACTTCCAATTTAAACGATTGCCGTTTGGACTAAACATAAGTCCAAATAGCTTCCAACGAATGATGTCCATCGCACTTAGTGGCTTGAGTCCTGAGTGTGCATTTTTATATATTGATGACGTCATTGTCGTAGGATGTTCAGTCGAACACCATCTGAAAAATTTAAGAAAAGTTTTTGAATGTTTTAGACAACGAAATCTAAAACTTAATCCTTCCAAGTGCAATTTCTTTAAATCAGAGGTCACATTTTTAGGGCATAAGATCACTGATAAAGGGATCTTACCCGATAATTCTAAATTCGATACAATAAAAAACTATCCGATACCACAAAACGTTGATCAAGTTAGAAGTTTTGTGGCAATGTGTAATTACTACAGGAGATTTATTCCTAACTTTGCAAATATTTGTTGCTGTTTGAATAAATTGTTAAGGAAAAATACCACTTTTACTTGGACAGAAGAATGACAATCCGCATTTGAAAAATTAAAAACCATGTTACTTTCACCTAGAATATTACAATATCCGGACTTTCAAAAGACATTCATCTTGACAACTGATGCATCAGATTTTGCATGTGGCGCAGTGTTGTCACAAATGCATGGAAACAATGATCTGCCTGTTTCTTTCGCCAGTCGCGCGTTTACAAAAGGCGAAGCAAACAAACACATCATTGAAAAAGAATTGGCCGCTATCCATTGGGCGATTATGCATTATCGACCCTATTTATTCGGCCGTAAATTTCTAGTACGTACAGACCATCGACCGTTAGTATATCTTTTTGGGATGAAGAACCCTTCTTCAAAGTTGATTCGGATGAGAATTGATCTTGAAGAATTCGACTTTGAAATTGAGTTCGTCCCAGGTAAAAGTAACGTCGTGGCTGACGCGTTATCTAGAATCATTACATCTCACGAATTAAAATCAATGAATATTCTACAAGTACAGACAAGGTCAATGCTAAGCAAGCCAAGTCTAGTCATAAATAACAACCAAAGCAGACTACCGGAGCATGATCAACTCCATGTGTACGAAGCAATCAACAACGAACAAATATATAAACTAAAAAAAAAAAAATAGAATTTTCACCAATTCAAAACAAAAATCAACCAATAATGGCATTAAATATTCTAGAAAAGAATTATAAAACGAGACTAACTCTAGCGTTAGGCCTCACAATCAATATAAATGAATTGCCAAAAATATTTCAAATAATTGAGAAGGGTACCCTGCAATATATGAAGTCAAAGAAAATTGAAAATAAGTGTGTTGCTATTTCGACTAGCGATGCCATATTTGATTGCATAAGTATAAATGATTTCAAAACAATAGGAAATCAGGTATTAAAAAACATAACTATTATTATTTACCACACACCAAGAATAATAAAAGATTCTAACGAAATTCAAGCTATATTACGACATTACCATAATACACCAATAGGAGGTCATGTTGGAATTAACCGCTTGTACAAAAAACTCAAAAACATATATATCTGGCCAAACATGAAATATATTGTTACAAAATTTGTCAAATTATGCGAACAATGCAAAACGAACAAACATTTTTCAGCCGTACAAGATAAAATGGTGAAAACATCAACTCCACTTAAAGTATTTGATGTTGTAGCAATAGATACAATTGGACCATTTACGCTGAGTAATAGAGGAAACAGATACGCAGTAACCATACAGTGCGATCTGAGTAAATATATTATTGCGATTCCCATTCCTGATAAATCAGCAAATACAATAGCCAGAGCAGTGGTAGAGGGATGCATTTTAACACATGGACCAATGAAAGCTATAAGAACTGATCAAGGAACAGAGTATAAAGGTATCTTTGATTCAGTTTGTAAGTTGCTCAATGTTGATCACACGCTTGCAACCGCTTATCACCCACAAACTCTAGAAGCATTGGAAAGGAATCACAGATGTTTGAACGAATATCTGCGAAGCTTTGTCAATGACTTGAAAAATAATTGGGATGAATGGTTACCATATTACTGTTTTAGCTATAATACTACCCCGAATAGTGACCACAACTATACACCTTTTGAAATAGTCTTTGGCAAACCAGTAAACAATTTTGATCAGATAAATTTAAGCCAAATCGATCCGGTATACAATCATGATCTTTATGTAAATAAACTTTGATATAATTTGCAAATTCTACATAATCAGATATTTAGGAAAATTGAAAATGTCAAATATTCAAGAATAAACAAAGCTAATAAAACAATAACAGGCACATCAATAAATATAGGAGATAAAGTGTATTTGAAGTTAGAAGGAAGGAAAAAATTAGATATTGTTCAAGATGGACCGTGTATCGTAATAGAGTTAGATAGTTCAAATGCCACCATCAAACACGAAATAACTACAAATGTTCTAAAAGTTCACAAAACAAAATTAATCAAGCATAACAATTGTTAACATCCTCAAAACGTGAAGTGACGAAGCGAGCGAGACACATTTTCAAATAATTCTGAATGGTTACACCATTCTTTCTTTAGAGGGGAGGTGTAGTAGCCGTACTACTCTTCCTTAATTCCCATGTAAAGTAGCATCCAATAATGGGCACATGACTAACATGTGTCAAAACCCAACAATATAGATTCATACTTCCTTGTGTGTGTCCTAGATTTTATGACACACTTTATGTATTCAAAACTGCGACCTCACAGTCAGCAGCTAAACCTTTTCCGTTTTCCGTTTTCCGTATTTTGAGACCTTCGTAATTGTTACCACATGAGCATCAACAATAAACTCTATTTTACAAACATTGTCACCAACGCTTCACTTCGCTCACCGAACTTGCCTTCAACATATTTCGTTTCAATAAAATCATTCTAAGTTCACACCAAGAGTATGACTGACGTCTTACTAAATCCGAACTCCGATCCTGCCTCAACATGTATTTTCAATAACATCGCCACTTCCAGAAGTAAGAGAAGTAGAAATTGGTATCATGAATGAAAGCTTACGACAGACACGCATAGAAACAAATGAGGTAAACGTTAACGATAGTGTAGTGGTCGATCCAATAGTCGGTTAGATACGATGGATCACCTCTTTACGCGAAAAGCGAGAGCATGGTTTATGGAAGTCAATGGAAATAACGAGCTAGAAACAAGGGAGAATTTAACACAGTGCCAGTGGGAGGATTGCAGAACAGCGATGTTAGCTGCCAGCGCGACTCCATATCTAAAATGAGGGAATTCGGTAAAAGGTTTGATTTCAAATTACAAACCAGGTGACAAGCAAAGTTGCTGCCACTCACTTGCTATAAAACGGAATTATGAAATCGTTGTTCCCAAAAGTGGTACAAGTGCACTTTAAAGGATCGTGAAAGCTTACATTTCCATTAAGCGTGGAGTTTGCTTTAACTGTCACGAGGAGGGACACAGGTCAAAGGATTGTCGAGAAGAAAACCCAGCAAGAGGACAACAGTTAGATTACTCGAAGGTGGAAGATCGTTTAGAAAAGATCAAACAGTTAAATTTAAAACTGGTCAAATGGGATCTCATGGTGTACTCGACTACAATTACAAACAGCAATAGGTTACTTGAATAGTTTTTTTTGTCATGTAATTCACAGAAAGACTGTATGCATATTTATTAAACTCATGGGGTATTTTATATACCTATTAACCATCTATTTTTAGGTACTTACGTGATAATCTAAAACTGGTAGACCCTAATCGTATTTGCGCCTACGGTATACTATTATTATTGTGTCGCAATTTATTTCCAATATATCTTATGTGATTCTGTTTTATTTTTTTAGGATGGGGATACGGCGGATATATCGTTTCTATGATGATAGCGAGCGACTCAGATAATGTCTTGAAATGTGGAGCTGCTGTGAATCCCATAGTATCTTTCAAGTACTATGGTAATATTTATTAACTTATTTTCTCCCGTGGGGATGAATGCTAATCAATATGTATATTTTCAGACTCTTTTTTCACAGAGCGGTATGTTATACAACCAGCAGATAGTGGCCGATCTTTACTTGATTCTGATCTATCGATAAAGGCAGGAAATTTTGCGAATAAAAAGTACCTTTTGATTCATGGAACAGCAGATACGCAAGTTCACGAGCAGCACGCCGCATTACTGACGAAATCATTGATCGAAGCGGGCGTCATGTTTAGACATCAGGTCTGTATCTAATCGTTAATATATGTGAATATGAATACAACGGCATTCACACTATAGCTTATATTACGTAATATGGGATGGATATTGGAATACAGATTAACACTAAATTGTTATTCATTATTTCCAGTTTTTCAAATTTTTCAACAAGTCAAAAATTCTTTCATTATATAGGGGAAATAGCTCTAATGTTGGCCTATGGATCTAAGATTGGGCCCATCGCTAAAAATCTGCTATTTATCAATTTTATCTAGATGAACGCGTCATTAGGACGGTACTAATGAATATTTTTGGTCGCTGTTGAAAATTTAGTCGATTGCTGAATTTATTTATGGACCCAAATTAGGGGCATTTAGGCCGACATTACATCCATTTCTCCTAGCTGTTAAAAATATATTCTCGAACGGCGCCAGTGGTGTAGTGGTAAGCGTGATAACCTCTCACTCCAGCAGGCCTGGGTTCAATCCCAGTCGGCGCCGCCGGGATGTTCTGAGGCATAACATCTCTGATCACGCCTTCCTTCGGATGGGAAGTAAAGCCGTTGGTCCCCGGTTCATGAGTTGATGGGTCGATAGGTAGGGTCCAGGTGTGGGAGCTGCTTTCCTGGCACGGCGGTAGCATTGGTGCTCAGCACGGAAAACAAGATCGACGGAAAAAACAAACCAAAGGAAAAAAAATATATATATGAAAAAAAGGAAGTTATGTAAAACCAACCAAATGGCGTTATAACCATCGACAAACCGACATAAAACTTAAACATAACTCTAGACTAACATTTGAAAAGGGCGTAACTCCAAGATGACCATATCGAGAAAATCGTTTCCGAATTTTGTTGACCTAAAAATAATCTTATTTCACGACTTTCCATTTTCTGGATAATTTTATAACTCTAGAATCTAAGCTATCATCATGCATCACTAAAAACTCAAATAAGTGTTCTGTGTCGTGAAATTGAGAATAAAACATCAGTGTGGGTAATTTCTTACATGTTGTTTGCGAGCAACAAGAAACACAGCGGATGCAGCCAATTGAAAACGCACTGGCTGGGATTTAGGTACTCCACGGTAGCAATCGGTTGAGTGTGGTGGCTAGTGGTAGTGAACCGATTTGCCGCGGTCACTCACCACTACGCACGAACTGAACGGAGAAGGAGAGAGTTTCTCGTAGAAGAATGTAGGAAGTAGGATTAAGAGATATAAATGTAAATATAGGAAATAAGTGAGTCTAAAAAGTACACCGTCGCGAGTAGTCGATTGGGGGGCAAACCCCGTACTAAATTATTGTTTAGTTTAAGTTCAATACATGTAGTGTTCTTGCAATAAATTGTATTTTGTGTGAAAATTGGTGTAGTGTTCTGTATGCGGTGAAGGAAGGTCTACGGATGACAAAAGGATTTGATTGAGGAAAGGATACGGATTCTACAAGGAAGGAAGGAAAGGGTACGTTCGCCGGGCAAGTAGAAGTCATCAACAATCGGTCAGGACGGTCCCGACATAAATTGGTCCTTCGAGCCGGATTTCTACTGCCGGTGGACTTTGGATTGGCCAAAACTCTACGATTTGACCAAGGTACGATCGAAGTGCGCCATCGTATGAGCACCAAACCACCAGATTCGTATGCCATAAAGGACCCATCGCCATCCTGAAACTACATCAAAGAGCTCGATCGCCATCGTCAATGATGGTGAAAGGATTTTTTGCCAAGTACAGAGTCGTCGTTCAACAGAATCGTCTCCAGCAAGTGCAACCAGTTTCCACAAGTGGATATTGGCTCTACTCGGGCACTTTAGACGATCATCTGGATTGTAGGACAACCAGAGCGTTGTTCTACTACCACTCAGGTATGTAAGACTGGTATATGTCCGCCGAAGCGACAAAATTTCCCAACTAACACCCACATTTCGACTGGTGTTATTGTTGCCGAATCGACGAGTGTGCTTACGGACGTCGAAGTGGTGAATCGGTTCGCGAAGAACTCGGTTTCGGGCACCATTCGAGAAATTCGGTGGCGATTGTGGACGGTCGACGACGATTCTGGTGCTACTTTCCTTATGACCAGACAAAGGACGGCATCACATCACGCTTTCAGGCTTGGGCATCGTGCAACGGTCATCTTGACCAGGTAAATACATAAATACAGTATATGCCCGGCTGAAGCTGGAATTGATTGATCCTACACCTAATAAATATTCAACCTTTCGATGCTATTTGAACTGTTGGAATCAATTCATTCACGGACGCAAGCCCTGAGGTTTTGTGTATTTTCGGACTGCTGATATTTCATTCTGCGCGACGTTCAGCGCCAGGGCCCGACGCTCTTTTACGTATAGATATTTATTCTGAAGTTCTTAAAAACTTATCAGTTCTGCCAATGCAGACCAGATCTAAAACCCGAATGACGACAGAAGCCATAGTTAATGAATCAAAAACAGAAAAGATTGATCACCTTCAAGTTTATGACTCTATTAATAATATTGATGCTTTAATCTACCAAAATTAACCTTTCAAACCTTGAATAACCATATAAAGGGTGATACGGTCAAAATTTGGTCAATATCAACTTGACGTATTTCTTTCAATTTTGCATTTAAAAAACCTGAACACCCCTCATTTTGAAGGTGTGTGTGTGTAGAATATTGCTCCTATTTTGATTTTGGAATTCACTCTTCAGTTGTCAAAATGCCGTCCAAGCAAGAAGAGCAGCGTATCAAAATTTTGCTCGCGCATCGCGAAAATCCGAGCTACTCGCACGCAAAGTTGGCAAAATCGCTAAAAGTTGCCAAATCAACCGTTACAAATGTAATTAAAGTGTTTGGGGAACGTTTGTCGACAGTCAGGAAGTCTGGATCGGGGGGAAATCGAAAACCGGAAGCCGCTGAGACGACAAAGAGAGTTGCCGGTAGTTTCAAGCGAAACCCTAACCTCTCTCTCCGAGATGCCGCAAATAAGCTGGGTGTATCGTCTACAATCGTGCATCGAGCCAAAAAACGAGCCGGACTATCGACTTACAAGAAGGTAGTGACTCCAAATCGCGATGATAAACAAAATACGACGGCCAAAGCGCGATCCCGGAGGCTGTACACGACGATGCTGACGAAGTTTGACTGCGTGGTAATGGACGACGAAACCTACGTCAAAGCCGACTACAAGCAGCTTCCGGGACAGGAGTTTTATACGGCAAAAGGAAGGGGAAAGGTAGCAGATGTTTTCAAGCAAATGAAACTAATGAGAGAGAGAAGGATTAGTATTTTCCATTTAATTCCACTACTTTATTTGCTTATCCTTGACAGATACGCGTATTTCGTCTACAATGTGCAGACTTCTTCAGTGTCTTGTACTAATACTCGAGTCGAGTATTAGTACAAGACACTGAAGAAGTCTGCACATTGTAGACGAAATACGCGTATCTGTCAAGGATAAGCAAATAAAGTAGTGGAATTAAATGGAAAATACTAATCCTTCTCTCTCTCATTATACAGGTATTCCACTAAGACGCCCACATTCATCAGGATTCAAATGAAACTGTCAAAGTTCGCAAAGAAATATCTGGTTTGGCAAGCCATCTGTACCTGTGGCTTGAAAAGCAGCATTTTCATAGCTTCCGGGACTGTCAACCAAGAAATTTACGTGAAAGAGTGTTTGAATAAATGTCTGCTGCCTTTCCTGAAGAAACACGGTTGTTCCGTACTGTTTTGGCCGGATTTGGCATCTTGCCATTACGGTAAAAAGGCTATGGAGTGGTACGCCGCCAACAACGTGCAGGTGGTTCCCAAGGACAAGAACCCTCCCAACACGCCAGAGCTCCGCCCAATTGAGAAATACTGGGCTATTGTCAAGCGGAACCTAAAGAAGACCAAAAAAACTGCTAAGGGCGAGCAGCAGTTCAAGGCAAACTGGCTTTCTGCGGCGAAGAAGGTGGACAAGGTGGCTGTACAAAATCTGATGGCAGGGGTCAAGCGTAAGGCCCGGCAATTCGGATTTGGAAAAGCGGAAGCCTAACTGAATATTTTTCCTGAATTTTATACTAATTGAACTTGAAAAAGAAATTTAATTTGATTTTTTAAATAAACGATTTCACCGATTTACACGCGTTTTCCCTTGACCAAATTTTGACCGTATCACCCTTTATATAAGTAGTAAACCAAAAAACCTGAAAGCAATTATTACTCAAGGGCAAATATTCCAACAAAAGGGAATGATTTATATAAATGAATGCATGAAATTACTGAATGAAATGGCCAAAACTGCAAATGTTACGAAGATTACGATCAGTGTAATGGATCCAATATTTAACAATGTTTCCCGGGAACAATTTAAAGAATCATGCAACAAGAATTTAAGTGACGTCACGATTATTATATATACACCAGCAATTGTGATACAAGATGAAAATGAAATAAATCAATTGATAAAAGAAAACTACGATACCCCTTTGGGAGGACACGTAGGTATTAACAAACTACTTCAAAAACTTAGGCGTAACTATTACTGGAAAAACCCGAATTTATCCATCAGACCCTTCTTACTTATTCAAGTTTATTTATTTTATTGTCATTATCAGTGACCAAGCCCCCCACCCCCGTGTCATCCAGTGACGCTACGCCACTGCCTGGGGGTACCCGGAATATATCCGGGTGTAGTCTATTTGGTGAGGCTACCAATCACCTTATCATCGTATTTTAATGTGATTTAATGGGTTTTAATTCAATTCATATTCAAGCAACTTCCCCGGGGTACCCGGTGTGGGACACCAGCGGACCGGTTACAGAACCGGACAACCCAACAGGTAGCGCAGCACGGAGAACACAACCGACCGAAGTTCCAGTGGCGTTTCGCGACAGTGAAATAACACGCAACACGGACTATTAGCTTCACACGTCTTTATTGTTCGGTTATTGACAGAGAATGAAAAAGTGATCGTTACCTTGACGTTGGCAGCATTGGGGTGCAGTGACGGCGTTCATAGAAACATCGCCCCCACCTTTTATATCTAACACTCCTCCTCGATGTTCTCTC